TTAAACAGCCTAACTTACACTTTAAAGACTTACTAATGCAACTTGAAACCCTGCAAGTGAATTGGCAAATTGCTAAGATTTTCATTGAGATATGATGGTCCGAATCTTGGCCCCAAACCATATTTCGGGGCGGTTATGAGGGCTGCCACAGGAGTGACAGGACAAGTTGATTGATTTAGGTCATTCCGAAGCATTGCTTGCCTCTACTGCAAGTCCATCACCATTTCTTTGTTCATGTCACCTGTAATCACGGCGGCGTGACGGCGTCACCTCCTTCATGAGATGCATCCCCGAGCCGAGGATCAGGAATTTCATGAGTGAGAGTAAGATATTCCAAGGTTTAAACTCGGGGGTTTGTGGATTCAATCCAGATTGGGCTCACAGCGTCGTAGGCAAGGATTTATGAGTAAGCTCCCTGCTCCCCTCCCCTCCCCTCGATGATGTCCTGATATCCTGGGCGAACAGCGTCTATCGACAAGCGCCAGGTGGTACATTTTAACAAATCATATCATTGATCAACAATCTTCGGTGATTTGCAAAACTGCCATGACACCGATAAACATTTGAGCCTGAATGCACAGAGTGATATAAAGCCTGTGTAATACTTTGAGAAGGGGTGAGATCTCACTCCACACAAAACCCTGGAGAAGTCAAATACCCAGTAATTGGTACCTACCTAAGTACAAGTACCTCCAGTCGTCAGACGGGCGAGAACAAGCATCTAATGCAGTGTCGACAAGTACCTCTATGAATCATTGTTGATGAGGTGGTTCATCAATGAATCATGTCACCGTTTTGTACAATGAATCAGTCTAGATCCCATCCTATGCAATGATTGACGTAGGTATCGAATGTTTGAGAAAGTTTGAAGGGGCGTGTGTCGTTCTCGGTCAGCGTGGCCCCCAACCTCCAGATGATTTTTGGAAGCCCTGCTCTTTCATGCCGCGCATTGTGCAGCAACAGGGTCGGACCAGGTCGAAGCCTACCGTGTATACTAGGGTTTTTTTAATCGGGGAACAAGGTTCAAGGTAGCTTAACGCTGCTTTTGAAACAACGGCAGATATATGCCAGTGATGAAAGGATAAATGTATTAGCTGATATCGACAGCACTGCTTGTTTGATAGACTGGGAGACTGGGTATACGGGATGGGATGAGATTGGAATCACTGGATAGGATGCAACGGCAAGAATGCCATTTTGAGGAGACGAGCGATTAAAGTTTGTGTGAAGAGATGCAATATCTAACTACTAGAGACTACCTAGTATTTCCCAAGGTACTCCGCAGACACTCCGTAGCCACTTCGCAGGCACTCTGCAGTGTAGGTAGGTACTAGGTACAGAATCGACATTGTAAAAAACTTGCCGGATCAATACTCGGAAACATTTTGTGGAGAAGTTTGTCCTGTCAGGCACGAGCGTTCAAGAAAAAAGAGCCATAGATTGATCTGAGCTTTTTATCTTTCTAGATAGGATAGGTATTGTCGACAGGTCTACTCTGCCTAGGTAGTAATAAGGTAGGATTAGTAGTAAGCTGGCACGATATCGATCGATACTGCAAGTCAATTGTCTTGGATAAAGACCTTATGGATTCCTGGAAGGCTTGATATCTCCGTCTAGGCCCCAGACTCCGGACTCCAGAGTCAAGATGGAAGGAAACCCCCAAGACATTTTCACTTCCAAGCTTCTCCCAGATTCTGTAGTATCGTTATTTTGATATCATGTCTTAGTCCCGTACGACTTATACTCTGTACCAGCTCAACAAAGCCGTTGAGAGTGCCTAGTCAAGTAATACAATAGAAACTGTTTCCCTGTCATTGTCAAGTCAAGATCTTCGGAGTTTTCAGTAATGGGTGAGGAATTTGAGTTGCAGCATCTGGCGGAGGTGACTTGTCAGATCTGATCAGATCTTCTTCAAAACTCTGAGAGACAAAGACTATAATACCATAACTATTCCTTTTCCTTTTGGCCATATCGAACTATCATTGAGTGGTAATTCCCAAGAAATACCAATGAACAATCAGACCACGCTAATCACATCTACTTGCCATGTATCATGTAGCTTTGCGAGACCTGCAGCATGCCTCACTTAATCAGTGATACATGATCCAGATACCAATATTTGACCCAGGAACCTCCCGCGCGCGATGTCGAGGGATTGAGGGGAAATAGATGAAAAGATGGCGCAACTATTGATTATCTTATTGTCTGATCTGGTCTGATCTGATCCAAAGACGAGTAAGCACCAAATCGCAATATGCCCAATCATTTATCCATCACGATTTACGATGTAATCCATGGATACATGGCTGACATGAATGATGAGGGGATGCGGCACAGTTCAGTTGCCATATCAAAGTAGTTTACATATGTTAATCGTTATAAGAGTATTACAAACTAGATACCCAGCCAGGCACTGATGGAACGGTTATGATTTCTTATGATTGCTTAGATATCCTTTCGGACTTCTCACACTTTCGATTGTGATCTCGCCGACGACTTGCATGGCTACCAGCGATTATCTTTCTTGTACTCTCTTTTCTCTTTCTGTCTTGCTCTCTCCACAATCCAAGGCGCTACAGTTATACAGACTAGATGCTTAACCTTACTTACTTGCTTCGAACTAATGCAAGTAAACTCAAACTTCACAAACCCAACTTTCGGAGTCTTTTCCTTAGATGACAGATAGACGATACCTAGATGATACATACCTACCTATGGCTAGCTAGAAATTCGCCGGTTTGGTCGATTGATATGATTGATCTTTCTTTGCGGGGAGAGGGAGGGGGAGAGACAAGTTGGGGAAGAAATCCCATTTTCAACAAAATAGTAATAGATATTAAATATAATTACTTTTTCCAGGGAAATTACACTCCAATTGGTTTAGATTGACATTCAAACATGGTCATAAATGATCCTAGAACATGAGGACAATAATCCTAGTACTAACCCACGCAGCAATTGCACATTGTAGAAACACAAGGGAGGGCATAATCACACCCTTTCAATCCATTTTCATGGATCAGTTGATGGGTGGACAGTGGACATCAAATCACCGTCGAGGAAAGGACTAAACGGAGAGTTTAGTACAATCTGCACACACTTACATATTGATCGATCGAATAACCTTCCCATTCTATATATCTTTGGAATATTGCTCATTCAGTATTAGATACGGAACTTACTTTTCTTCCCTCCCCCCCTAGGAAGAGTAAATTGAGTGATTCAAGTGTTCGAAATCTTGGATCCTGGCCGCACAATCTAAGAAACGTCGGCAGTTCTGATTTTCGTGGATATAACATACCGGTATTCATCCAGTATCAGTCAGTCCATACAGAGTTCCATCATCGAACTCAATCTTATGGCTTTGAGTCTTGAGTCTCGACAGAAATAACTCCACCGTGTTCTGTTACACCTTCTTACGAAATACTTGAATCTCTTTCCCCTTCATCTTCTCTCCTCTCTCGCCAATATCAAATACGAGACAGACCATCTATCTCCTCCCCCAAAGGTGCTGGAACCTATCTACACAATCTACATATCATACTCAATCTTTCTCCAAGTCAAGTTGGCCGTTTTGCCCGTGGTTCACGTATCTACAAATTTTCTCCCTGAGTCGCCATCATTGTACTCTTGCACTAAAAGATTCCTTGACCCTGTCCTACTGTACAGCACCCCGTCCAGTACAAAGGGAACCCACAATCCGCCTTCCACCATCCACACAATCCACACTTGGCGACCATACGTCTTCCCGACTGTGCACCTCATTATCATTATCATTATTATTATTAAAGAAGAGACTACGAATTCCCCAGTCCATCATAACGGGCTCCATAAACCTTTTTCCACGCACAAGTTCAACTTCACAAGGGGCTGGCCGTTCTTCTTCTCCCTCTTCACAATTAGCACAAGCCGCAAGGGATCTTCTTCTTCTTCTCCTTCTCCTTCTTCTTTCCTCCGTACAATCAGCACAAGGGCTCTGGTTCTTGCAAATCACCAAACCACTTTTTCTTCCTATCCCAGAAGGAGGGGAATCGTATCCGAGTACTCGTACTTGACACATACTGGATGCTAGGACGGGATTCTGATCGCTAGGTGTGTACTACTTGTACTACTTATCCACCACCACGACCAGTACTTACTTGCACCTGCACTTCTCTCGTCCCCCAGATCTACTAACACACCGAAAACAGACTTTCCTCGATCCAATTATATACGGGACCACATTCCAGTACTCGGTCGTATACTCCCCCCCCATCAGCATCAAGCACAATTATAATATACTTTATTGGCATCACGAGAACTCATGAACCTCATCATCACCGTTCATTGAAGATTCCAGCACCATCTCCTTTTCTTATTGTGGTTGCGTCTTGATCATTTTATATAAGCCAAGCAAAGTTAAACTTCCCGATTTCAGCCAGACCCTTTTATCCTTTGATTTTTTACACTTTCCACGCATGTAGGAAGACGAGTCGGTACATCTTACGGTACATAGCTACATACTAGGTCCTTTACACGTATAAACTCAAAATCCCACCAACCCACCATAACCACCACCACCACCGAGTCTTTAGTGCTATACGCGAGGACCCGACCACCGATCACCGCTCCCCGAAAACCATAATCCATTATTCTCCCTTGCAGAACAAGAACACAACTTTACCTTTATCTGCACTCTTCCAGAAAATTTCTTAAACCCTCGCAACATACAAAGCTACAGTTCAATCTACGATTCAACTTAATTCCGAACGAGATACGATATTCGACATTCACTCCTCACGATTCAATATCTTCCCAACCACCTTGAACCACCCAGGTATCCTATCCATCCTATCACTCCAATACTCCGAATTGTCTCTCTTCAATTGCGACTCGCGAATCGCGAATCTTGCCCGCTTTCTATCTTCAGTCCTAAATTGAGAAAAATCCCCGCCGCCACTCAAAATAGAATAGACGATAAGTGATTAGAGCAAGCAATTGTGTCGATCAAATCGATTAGGATGGATTCACGTCCGCCATCAACTAGAATGCCCACTGGGCTGGCTGAAGTTTTAAATGAAGTTGGCCCTGAAGAGCGCATGAGAGACTCTGCTTATTATTCAAATCTAGATTCGGCATCGAAGCGTGAGTCTTGGGGCATTCTCTTCAACATGCGCTTCTAACAACTTGCTAACGAATACCTCCCAATTTAGATAACTCGCAACAATTATCGAACGGCGAAGTCATCATGGCCCCTTCGCCAACTGGTTATCATTCCTCCAGCGCTGATATAAGCCCCTCACCTGCAGCAAACCACATTGCCAATCAACAGCTCACCTCTCCAACTTCTAATGGCATGAGCGTCGCATCTATGGTCTCTCCATCTTACGAACATTCCATGGCGAGTTCACTACTGTCGATGGGCCAGTCAAATAGACAATCATATGGATCTGGACTGGGAGCTTTTTCAATGAACGGAGATTCCCGTCGGGAGAGTGTCGATTCAAGATTGGGGTTTCAAGAGTTGCGACTCAATTCCCCATACGCCAGCAACAATCAATCAACCACCTCTATCCAAAGCACTTTGCAGCAGCAGCGCAACCCTGGGAATGCCGCCGATCGCTTGTCAAACCCTCGATTCTCGAACAGCTATCAACCTCAACGTCTGCCCGAGCCAACATCCCCCAGAAGTACAGTCCCAAAGACTGCTCCCAAGATTACTGGTCCTGCCATGTCTAGTATTGCTCGAGCTGCTGAGCCAACTAGGGGAGAAGCCTGGGCGTTTCCTGAAGAGCCAATCAGAGTATCAAACTCACACGATCGCCATGCCGAGGACAGCCAGAGCATAAGTAGAGTTGGTACTTCGTTCTTAAATCTTGACTCGAGACGTAGTAGTATGGCAGACTCGGTCGCAAGCAGCCAATACACCACAGAATCTCGTCTGCCAGCTGGACAGAGAAGGTTAGAAGATGGAGTGTCGGCCGATTTCAGATCATCGCGAGCCTCATCTGAGTTTCAAAATGTATCACATCACCATCATTCTCTACAAAATCGCCAAGTTTCTGATTTACAAGCTGAAGATGCCGATTCTCCAAACAATGGGCAACCCTACAGCCGCACACCTGAACTTCGTGTCAGTCATAAACTTGCGGAAAGAAAGCGTCGAACTGAAATGAAGGAATTGTTTGAAACCTTGAGGGATTTGATGCCTCAAGAGCGCGGTAATAAAGCTAGCAAGTGGGAGATATTGACAAAAGGTATTTGATTCGAATAACACCCATTGACTATGTACTAAGAAGATTTATATAGCTATCGCCGAACACCATACACAGACGAAGGAAATTCAAGATTTGAAATCGAGGCTTCACAACTCACAACTAGAGAATGAAAGTCTTCGCCGTGAGAACAATGTCATCCGCTTGGAGAACTCACAGCTTCGTAACGAAGTAAATCAAGGCGGTTCCAATAATCACCAGTCTGTGATGAACGGCTTCACTCCAATACCACAGAATGGCGGTCAACATGTCAACATGAATGCATACCAACAAGAAAATTATGCTCCAAGAGGCTCTTATCAACGCGAGGAACAATTACCACCACTTCGTGGAATATCACAACCTGAATCCATTAGTGGAGTTCAATATCAATCGGATTTAAACCGTAATGGTTATCGTGATCCTCGATTCTAGATCAAGTTCAAATTATTCGGACGGTCTACGATATGCTTTCTCGATAACATTTGCGACAAAGTTTTTCAATCTAAAAGGGTTTGACCTTTATCATCATTTACCAGCAATTATCTCTTCTACATGTCTCTCGCCTTTGAAAATTCACTTTTCCCCCGTCACGAAGATCTCTTTTTAGCGATATTATACCCAAAAGCGTTATAAAAATCCGATTGAGACCGAGCTTCGCTCTCTGTTACTTAATAGCTTTTCTCGAGCATACCTATTCTTCCCTGCTTCTCATCTATCTATCCACGAGGCACGTGTTCTATTAGAAAACCGGTTGGCGTTTTACGTTTTACTTCACAGTATCTATATTTCCTCTTCTTCTTGGACTCGTCAATTATTTGACGTATTTTCAATATCTTATTACATTGAATAAATAAGGTGGCCAGTATGGCACTTTTATCTCTTATACAAAAGTGGAGCGTACATTTCTCGTGCGTCGAGGAGTTAACAGGGGGTTTTTTGCATTTCTGGTATGGAGCGGATGGGAAACTGCAATATCCGGGTGGAAAAATCAAATTCGGATTTTATGGGGGGCGATGATATGAATATGGGAGATACTGATTCTACGAAAGAGTGGAAGAAGGCGTTACTTGATTATACCCGCTCTCATCTTGGGGTTTCTATTACTATCTCGCCTTTTTGAAACCCATTTCAAATTTCAATGTTCGATCGTCTTTGATTGAATCAATTGGGAATGGGAAACTGGAAAGTTGGATAGACAGAAATTTTGTATGGACAGGATGAGATAGCACAAATTACTTGGGCGCTGCGATTTTTGGACTTTTGGGCCTACTACATTACTTGAATTTTGGAACGTATGAAAGGGTGGCACGTCTGCGCATGTATGGATGGATTGGATGGGAAGATGAATGGTTGGTTGGGGATGAACTGTCAAGATAATGAATGTCGCCAGTCAAGACAAGAATAGAATGGATGACATTTGTCTGAACGATTTCAGTCACTGTCGTTGCTTTTAATTGTTGCTATTGAGTGTCTGATTTGCGAAGTGCGATGTTTGAAATTGTGTTTTATGGTGTAAATAATCTAGTAGGCATATATAGTTCTTTTCCTCAAGAGGATGAGGGTTGATGGTCTTCGAATAACTGACTAGCTCGGAGGCTTCTTCTATCTGATATGTTTAAAGTCTTTCCGGCAATTTCCATATGGATCCCATCGTATAGTTTAAGTGGGTATCATGAGGGTTTCTGAGGAGGGGATGAGAGGGGAAATGGGAAAGATTGAGGTGAGTGATTGCGATCTTGAATGAACTGTATAAGTAGAAGGAATGGTGGTATTTGGTAAAGAGTATAGAGAACGAAAGGTAGGTTGGATAGGGCAATTGAATTGATAAAGTAGTGGAAAGATGGAAGGAGGAGGAGAGGAGACAAATGAGGAGGTGGGTGAGTGGAAGGTGGGATGAAAGAAAGGGGGATGAATCGTGGTATGTGGGGGATGGGTGATAAAATGAAATGATATCATGTTTCTCCAAGACGGAAAATCAAGATGAAAGGGGGAAAGATGCGATATCATGTCATATCATGGGAGAACAGTTGAGTGTGAAGTTGTGGTTCGCTTTTGTCTTTTGTTTTTTCTTGGGGAGAAAAGGGGGAGGAGAGTAGATCTGAAGTCTTGATAGGGAGGGAGCGAGGGAGGTTATTAAGATCTGGAGAGATGGATTTGATAATGAAGTCATTGTTCATTGTTTTTGCTAATATGGATGTGGATGTGGATGTAGATGTCATGATTCGGAGATCTGGTTTCATGTTCATCTGATGTTGGGAGGAGTCGGGATGCGTGATGGATTTACTTACCTAGGTATGGCAGACATGGTATTTGGATGGACGCATAGACGCATAGCCTCGCCTTTCGCACTGGCTTTGGTTAGGATGCTGGTTTTGGGATTGGGGACGGAGATGGGGATGGAAGATTCTTATTTAACTTCCAAGTACCCTAGGTAAGTAAGTATGTATGACGTACGATGTTGATGAAAACGTAAGACTTGGATTTCTCTCAGCGGGGTGGATAGATCAAATCGAGAGTTGGGATATGTTGCGCATGGCATATTGAGGGTGTATTTCTTTTAATTATCTTTTTATTTTTAGGAGTGCGTGGTGCCATTATTTGCATGGTGAAACGTGATGGATGGATGGGGTTGCGATGCGAGGTTTGAGGTTTGGGATTTATTAGGACTTGGGACTTGGGATTTGAGAGATTAGGAGGCTGTGACGTCAATTTTTTTTCCTCTCTCGCGATTCCTGCGATTGATGTCAAGTGTAATGCGGAGAGGGGAAATGGTAGTGTCGTCTGATCATTAGAGCTGTGATGGTCTTGGATGGATATCTAAGTGGACATACCTATGTCTGGAAATGGAGATGGAGATGGCATCTTTCGTCATTCGATCGTGCTGGCATTATTAGATGAAATGGGGTTTGCGAGGTTAGATGGAAGGGGGAAGTGTATTTTTTTGCTATGGGTGATCATCTGGATGGTTAGGTCTGGTAGGTATGATGTCATGTTCTGGGCTTTTTGTACTGCGAGTAAGGGAGTGAGGAGGTATGTTGTGCATTGTGCGTAGTGCATTGTCCGTTGTCATGACTTCAATGTGGAGCGGGGAGAGAGGGGGAGAAGTATGCGCGATGGATGGGGGCTTGGGAGACGATGATTGATGAATATATGTACTTGTATGTGTATGGCTATATATATCATGATGAATTCCCAATGGAGAGGAGATTCATTCTTTCACATCATAGCAGATTATTAGTAAAGAAATTCTCTTCTTTTCTCTTCTCCTTCTTCTCTTACATATTCTACAAACACAAGATACAAGACACAATATCTCTAAAACAACTTCCTTATTACATTCCACCACATTTTTAATCACTTTTCTCAGAACTCTATCTACATCATAAATTCCGCACCGTCAAACCCATCCCAAAATGTATACCAAAATCTCTCAACTCACAACTACTCTCGCTATCCTCTTCACTCTCACCACCGCGCTTCCAGCTCCTCCAGACACAAACACAAAAACATCGTCTTGTTCTACCGCCACGGTCGATTCACATGTATCGATACCTACAACACCTGCATGACAGCCGCATCTGGCGATAATGACGCAATCGCAACTTGGTAAGTGTGACTCTCTTTCAACAGTAACAATAAGAAGTCTAAGACTGACGGAAAAATCAATAGCGCACTCAACCTCTCCACCTGCACAAACGCAACCGCAACCGCGAAAAGAGATGCGGACAACCCGGAAAAGAGGGTAGCAACCGTGTGTACGAATGGGGCGTGGGGAAGTGTGGCGTGTGTGGGAGCGTTTGGAATGTGTATGAAGACGGCGGATGGGGCGGGGGAAATTACAAGTTGTGCGTTGGCGTTGAGTGCGTGTGAGGTGGGGGTTAATACGAAGTGAGGGAGAAGAGGGGAATAGGAGGAAGAGGAAGGAGATAGGAGTCGAAAGAGATGGGAGAGGAAAGAGATAGGAGGGGAAAGAGATGAGATGGAGGATGGGAATGATTGAATGGAGCAAGAGAGGAGAGGGAAATGCAAGGACGATTGATATGTATTATTTTGTAATTGGATTTAATTTGACTTTCAAGGAGATGAGTAACTGTACGGATAAATATATGCTTGTAAGTATGTATGTATTTAAAGCAACCCATTCATACGCATCCAACTTCCAACCTCGCCAATCTCGCTATTTCACATCGTATGGTATCATATCATATCAAAAATTTGCAACACTTTACCAAAATAACCAACTCGAAGGTGAATTTTGACTACCGCCTTTCTTCTCGCTTCTCAGAGTCCATACTTACTTACTAAACCACATCGACCAATATCACAAACTCAATAAGGAACTTCAAAATAACTAAAATAATCTGTGGGGTTCCCCCCTTCTGTCAATCCTCCACCGGGAACGTAGATCTTGTTTCCGACGGCTACTGCAGATGTGCCGTGCTAGAGGGGGAAGTGGATGTTAGTAGGGATTGTTATTTTAGAGTTACGGTTGACTCAAGGGTTTAGGGAGAGATCGAGTGCAACATCTAAGAAAAATAAAGAAGTAAAAAGAGGGAAGAGAGATAAGAGAAAGAAAGAAAGAGCACGGCAGGATGAAAAGAAAAGAAGACAAGAAATATCACAGACAAACATAACATCTCGATTTCCCCAGAATCAATCAACCAAAAAGAAAGAAAAAGCACACAAACATACCCTCGGAACATCCATCGGCGCATAACTCCTCCACTGATCCCTCTCCGTATCATACGCTTCATTCTCCTCAAAAACGCCACTCGCACTCTCCTTATTTCCCTCCCCCCCCATAACAAAAATCCTCCCCCCACCACGCACTCGCTACTCCTCCTCGGGGGGTCAAAAATCCCTCCTTCTCACGCCACTCCCCCTTCTGAAAATCATACATGTAATTCGTGACCACCACGGTATCGTGCCCAATATTCCCTCCCCCCATAACATACAACGGGCCGTTATCCCCGAGAAACCCTTCCCAGCATGATCTCTCGGGTGCGGCAGCGCAGGAAGAGAAGTCCACGTCTCGAACCCGGCGGTGTACGCGGTGAAGTACGAGACGCTGGGTTGATAGGTTTCGGAGATATTGAGATAGGTGAGACCGCCCGCGAGATAGATGGTGTTGCCGCGGCGGGCAACGGCTGCAGCGCCGATTTGGAGTCCAGAGGGAAAGGAGGTGGAGAGTTGTGTCCAGGTGTTGCTGCTGGGATCGTAGCGGTAGCAGGAGCGGTTGGCCAGCCAGATGCCGGTGGAGTCGGGGGTGAGGCCGCCGAGGAGGTAGATGGCGCCGTTGAGGATGGCGGCGTTGGCGTGGTTGAGGGGGATGGGAAGATCGGCGGCGCGGGACCAGGTGTTGGTGGTGAGGGAGAAGCGCTGCATGAGGGTTGTGGTGGGATAGGGGTCGGTGCTGGGGTGGAGGTGGAGGGATGATGCCGCCGAGAATGTAGATGTAGGGGTCTAGATACACGGTTGTGTGTTCTTGGCGGGGATAGAGGGGGATGGATGGGAGACGGTGCCAGGATCCTGGGTTACTGGTGAGGTTGGCGTCTGTAGGAGATTGAGGGAGAGCGGCACTGAGGGTGGAGAGTGCGAGAATGATGGAGAGTGAAAAGGAGGAGAAAATCATCGTGATGGATTGATGGATGTGCACTGCAGTATGTACTCAATATACACTAAAGAATTCAGATCTCACAAACGAAACCAAGTGATGAACTTGCGCGTCTGTTCTCAAACTGTGAGTTTGTAGACTTTCAAAAATATAAATCGGGAGCAGCGAACTTATAGAGTAAACAAAACTGGCACTACGTTTCTAACACAAATTCAACTCAACATTCCCGATTGGTCAATTGCCATCCCCTCAACAACCTGCAGACCGTGTAACTAAGCAACGTAATTGATCGACCATTGACCAATCCATTTTTACCCTGCTGTTGAACATATGCAGGTCGCCATATCAAAAACGGTGATACGACTGCGAATCAAGGATCGATGATGCCAAGAGAAGACTCGGTGAAGCTCGTATCGCATTGCATCTGCAAGATATCAATAGTTATCAGATGTGCGACCCAAAATATGCAGAGATGTTTTAATTATAGACTTTTCCCCATGCATCGATATAGAGTCCTGGCGACAGAACGGCGTATTCGTAATAGCGAACATTCATATGTTCCCTTGTATATTCATACAATGAACGAATACAATTGGATGTATCACTGACCACTTCTAATTATTAAACCTATATTCATCTTGCCATAGTCATTATGTCCACTCAACCCTCTTCCTCTCATCAACTCCCGCATCAACTTCCTCATCAACTTCCCTCATCAACTTCCCTCAATCAACTTCCCTCATCAACTTCCCTCATCAACTTCCCTCATCAACTTCCCTCATCAACTCCCTCATCAACACTTCCCTCATCAACTTCCCTCACAACTTCCCTCATCAACTTCCCTCATCAACTTCCCTCATAAACGCCCCCCTCCCCACCACCCAACTCCTTGAGTCTTATTACCTCTCCCATTCTTCCTTTCTCCTCTAAATCTTTCCTCGATATCTTACACTTTGCCGTATATCCGCACTTCATTCCACCTCCAAAAAATGTTTCATCCGGACAACTATGGCCCCATAGCTCCAACACGAGTACCCAGACTACCAATCCAGTGACAGTGAAGATGAGTGTGAGGGAATTTAGGGATGAAAGAGGAAGACATATGAGGATTATGCAGACAATGAGACGATTGAGCAGGCGGTAGCGCTTGGCAAGTCGAATGCCGTGGTGGTCTTTTTTATGGATGTGGCAGGCTGATATAATACCTAAAGAGAAAAGGTCAGTTGCGAGAATGAAGAGATGTAAAGCACCAGTGGGCGCATGGAACGACGGGACACTTCTCGACTTTTGAAATGTTTGACAAATTCATTCATCAATTGCTTGATATCATAATCTATCTTTTCATTGCTCAACTCTAATAAGATATTGTAACAATTCCTAAGATATGCAAATCGATATGTCAAGAAATATTTCCAAGTCGATCTTTGCAGTGTCCTGCCAATCCGTACACCACTGGTGGAGAGAGTGGAAGAGAGTTCATACCCATAAAAAAGAGTGCAACACCGAAACCGACACAATAAAACCAACGCAACCCATGAGAAACTTCAGATTCAGATTTCTCCTGGTATGCTTCCGTGAGACTCTCAAGAGGAGTATCACCACAATCTCTCGCAACAACGAGTCTAGAAAGTGCAGCACCACCTAGAACATAACTCATAATAAAGGGTAAATGTGCAAAACCCCAGATGATAGAAGCCTTAACATCTCGTCGAATAGCATGCGTAAATAGATCCGTACCGTCCAAATCAAAATATATCCAGTTAAAAACAAATGCTTGAATGAGGCCCAGAACGGCTTTTCCAAAGAATGCATTTAACCCAAATGACGCTGCGCTTTGATAGATAACAGCGACAACTGAATAGCCAAAGACCAATGTCACAAACGCGTTTGTTCGTTCGGTCTTATGTTCGATATTTGTAGCAGGGTAAAATTCAAACACTCGATCAGTCCACTCGGCCAGTCTAATTGAGATGAGTTTAGAACCTCGAACGAGGAATACTACACCTGCCGTACCGGTTAAATCTACGAGTATGGCAATAGCAATGATGGCGAATCGTTGAGGTAGATCGACGTAGATGCTTCCTATCCAAAGGATACTGGGGACCAGAATAATGATGGCTTGGGCTATTAGCATGCCTCGAACCATGGGTATAAGCCAAGCGAGAAATAAATAATATGAGCCCATGAAAAGACGAGCGGTTAAATAGAATGCGACTAGCATTGTGTATGACTTTTCGAAGGCTTCCAACATATTTGTGGTGAGGCTGTCCAAGATTAGACTGAATATAAACGCGCAACGACGAAAGCATATAGAGGGCAGTATCAGAAGAATCTACGACTTCACTCACCCAAGTAAACACGCCATGACAAACAATATTAAGACTCTTTGAGCTATATCATCGGTTTCGAACCAAGAGATAATGAGTGTTAGATCACTCCAGATCTTCCAACTCATGATGAATGTTACGAAAAATCTTAGGAGCTCATATCCAGTGGGACTTTCAGCGGCATGATCTCCATTTATAGCGAGAATACCAACGTATAATAGGTCCACAAAGAGTTCAAATGATGCTACTTCCGTAGTTCCTGATGCTCTCCATAATAAACCACGGTGAAAATATTGCCTGACAGTAGGCTGAAATGTTGTTAGTTCGTCAGTATACAAAGAGGAAGGAGACAAAATGAGTCAGTGTTCATTGTCCATATCATGTCAGACTTGACCTTTTTATATAGTTTGATAATTCTCCCCTTCCTCTTTTCCGCTGCCCAATCTTTCTTTTCATGATCATCAGGCCCGTGATACGATGAGCTCGCCCGACTGGTATGTTCCGACCCATCATCATAAGTTCTTAAATGCGCACTATACCCATATTTCGAAAAATTCGCATCCAATGCCACGGAATGGTCTGTCAACATATGAAGCTCTGAGCCCAAGACATCTAGTTCTAATTTCACATTTTCGAATTCATCATAAGCGTCACCATGTTTATCTTTTAGTGCCAGTCGCTTAGATTCATGATGACTATGCGCGGTTCGAAGCGCGTCGAGATGTTCAGGAGATCCGTTGATCACGAGATCAAAAGGTTGATCTTTTTCTATGGTGCTGAGGTGTCGACGAAGGAGATCGGCCTCTTCTGGAGAAGGCGCTATGTGCACTTTTCGGCCATTGGGAAGCATGAAATTGCGGAGTCGATGACCTCTGTGGTGATGACTGTGGGGAGTGGAAGTCCCTGGGGAGATTGGGGTTGTAGACATCTTCAGCATAGGTATGTGAATTGCGTGAAAGATAACTTAGATCTGAGTATCGTACTGTTCTTCATACAGATTGATACTGTCAGGTCCTTATGTGGCTGCTGATGCCAAGAAATTGTGGCTTGAAATGAAGCTGGCTGATAAACAAATCGAATCAAACAGCGTTCAAAGATAGGCACTGAAATATCATACTCAAGCAACGTTCTCAATTGTCATCCAAAGTCCATACTGACAGAAGCGGAAGATGAACAAGTCGATGAGTTGACATAAAAGACCATGTTTAGCTTATATTAAAACACAGCCATTTATTAAGATGAGAGGAGAGGCAGTGACTAGGGGCAAAGGAAAAAGGACCAAGCGTTTGATCGCCAAGCTTAGTAATCACATTAGCTTCTACGATACGATAGCTCCCTGTTCTCTCCCTGGGGAATATCACAAGGCGTTGAGAAATTACATGAATTTACTCGTTAAAAGTTATCTAGTTCCTTGTTTGTTACTCTGAAATGTATGGCTAGGTATCCAGTATTTCGTTTTAGCTATGTGTTCTAAAAAAAGAGCAGAAGAGACTCAAGAGGTACGATTACTTCGGATTAGAGCACCAGGTGGACGGGATCAGAGTTCGGATCCGGAGTGTTGGGTCAAGCATCAAGAAGAACAAGAAGCGAAAAAATAAGGGAATGGGACTTTCAATCCACTTTAATTGGTCACTTCGGGAAGGGAAGTACCAGGCCCCTGAGAGCTGAGGAGACATCCGTTGTTCGTGATGATTGCTGTTCCCACTTCGGGCTGTACTATTAAGGTTCGTTCAATCAAATGGCCAAGGAAAAGGAGAATGAGATGGTATTGATAAGGAAAATTGCTTGGAAAATGAAGATGATTGGTTTGAATTATAGTTCGACTTAATAATAAACCTTGAAAATAAATTAAATTCTGGGATTATAATTCACACCCAGCCAGCCGGGTTTTATCCTCACACCATCTAATAACCCAAAATTCATAACATAATCTAAAAACTACACAGTTTACTCTTTCCACAAATGGCTCTCGCCAACATCTCAATACTGCCACTACTCAACAATTCCAAAACCTGTAAATTGGTCTCAAATTCCCTCGCAATGAAATTCCTCACCTCAATTGCTACCAAAGAATCCAATGCATAGTTCGATAAACTTCGTGTAACATCCATATCTTCTGCTTCCAACATCAAAACACAAGGTAAAATATGTAATAATCCTCGCGTAACGGCTTCCTGCGCTTCCTCAATTGTGGTGGCGTTCTTAAGTGCGGCATTGAAGGATATATTGGCTGATGGAGAATCGGAGAGAGAGGATGAAAGAGCTTCGTGGGCGAGTCGTAGATGTTTGAATTTGGCATCGTTCGTCCAAAAAGGTGGCGGAGTGGTGATACGCATTCCTGTTATTGTGTGATTGTTACATGTACTAGCCAAACGACCAGTAATGGCAGCCCCGAGAAGTGCTAATACCTCTGCTTCGCATATAGTGTCACTTCCGAGGTTCTT